CCTCTCTCGCAGGGCCCGGGCGCCTTCCCGCAGCGCCCGCCGCCGCCTTCCACAGCAGCGCCGCGGCCCGCGCCAAGGAGGACTATTACCAGGTGCTGGGGGTGCCGCGCAGCGCCTCGCAGAAGGAGATCAAGAAGGCCTATTACCAGGCACGTCCTGCGGCCCCGGCCCTAGGGGGAGGGAAGCTCCTGAGCGGGCCCTTGGCGGGGGACACGGGTCGGGTCGTAGCTGCCCGCAGCATCCCCGTGCAAAGACCTGAAAGCCTTCAAGATCGTACATTCTAAGAAACTGTTCTTTATTTTTATTGTTTCCTAAGGATTCTTTTGTTAGTAACGTTCCTTTAAGTTAAGTAAGTCCTTAAGGAACTTAAGTAAGTCCTTAAGTAAGTTCCTTAAGCTTAACTAGTAAGTTCCTTTAAATTTCCTCTGGTTGCACCCACTGGAGATGAACACTGGGTCTGAATAGGAAAGCCTGTCTAAATACGGGGAACCCTTATCGAGATGTGGTGCCCTCTTCAAAGGGTTGTTCTTGCTGCACATGTGCTCTGTGCTGGCATCTTGGGCCTCTTTACAGCAAGACTTTCATCCCCGGAATCATGTAGCAGCCAACGGGGGGGTAACCTTGTGTTTCCTTACAGTGAGCTGATACAGTGAGTGCTTTTAGTTCCCCATGTTGAATGCCAAGCTCTGTCTCATGCATATTTTCTTTTCCTGGCATGTGAGATAACGCTAAAACAAATCACTGTATCTCTAATTTTGTTCTTGTTGTTTAGCTGGCAAAGAAATACCATCCTGATACAAATAAGGATGACCCCAAAGCTAAAGAGAAGTTCTCTCAGCTGGCAGAGGCCTATGAGGTAATTAATATACACAGTTCATCCTTGTGAAAAGGAGGGAAGTCTGGAATAACACTTGGAGTAGGTGGGGGGAAATATTTCTTCTTCTGTGGATTTTCTGCAAAACTGTCACTATTGTTTCATCTCTTGTATTTTATCCTTGAGCAGAGTCTTTGCTCCAGCAGTGCTTTTATTACCTCTGGGAAGTTACTATATAACCCAAATATCTGATTTAGTTAAATGTGTTTTGACCTTTTTGAGTTTGTGGTCTTTCTCAGTAAGAGTGCCTGGCATAGATGGGGCAGGAGAATCACCAGTCCACTTAAAGCAAGAACACTGTTAGTAGTTACTAGATTTTTGGAGAGAAAGGTACTTGACTTTGCTTTGCATCCTGCCAGTCCAGCTCCTCCTTCCTGCTCTTCAGCTTCTTCAGAAGTTTCTTTGGGCTGTTTTTGGCTCTTTGTAGATTTTCAAATTTATTCCAGCACTCGTTGCTAACTTTCATGTAACATATTAGTGATCTAATATGTAATGGCAATTATTCTTGTTTATTATGAATTAGCAAAATCATGTCATTTTCCTGACGGCTCATGAGAGAATGATGGAAGAAGAGGCTTTCTGATAGACCAGTTGAATGTGACAGCTGGACTAGCCTCCCTAGTGTCACGAAGAAGGTTGGAGAATGGGCTTGCGTGGGGAAAACCTACAGCCTTGGGCTCTCCCGAGAGATGTGACTGTATAAACATAGGCTGTCTGGGACTAGTATTGTTGCTGTACGTCTCTACAGTGTCCTGGTGGTATCATTTATTTTATTTTTTACCTCGAAGGTATTAAGTGACGAAGCAAAGAGGAAACAATATGATGCTTACGGTACAGCAGGTTTCGATGCCGGTGCAGCAGGTGCAGCAGGTGCTGGGCGCCAGTACTGGAGCAGTGGCCCATCAATTGATCCAGAAGAGCTTTTCAGAAAAATCTTTGGAGAGTTTTCAGGATCCTCCTTTGGAGATTTTCAGAGCGCCTTTGACCAGCCGCAGGAGGTATGGATGAAATAGGCATATTTTCTGAGTATGTGAGATGGAAAAAATGGAAATAGATGGAGTGTTAGACTGCTACTTGCTGCTCTGCATGTAAGCTTAGGCAAAGAATTTGTTTCTGGGTATGTCAAAAGCAAATGTGTCCCATTGTATGGGTGCTGGTTGGCCTCCAATTCCAAATCACATCTCTGTTGTAAGCTATATGCCTCCGGATAAAGATGGAATATATTTTCTGGATTACAACTGGTTTATCTGGTGTGTTCTGACACCTGTTAATGCTGCTGAACTGTTTTCATCATTGTATAGGCTGTAAGTTGATATACATATGTCTGTTTTGTAGTTTAATGCTGCAAGCCACAGAATAACTTTTAACTGTAAAACGAGCCTTCCAGCTTTTGATTTGACTGTTTAATGGGCTTAACATTGTAATGAAGCCTAAATGTGAGAAGGAGGTTTTGGTTTTCCTTTGTCCTGCAGCTAAATGCACTCTCAGGTATTTATGCTTTTGATTTGTCTTCAGAAACATGTCTGGTATTTAGGACCTCTGGGTTTACTATAAGCAGAATATTCTATTTTGTGGGAAGCTATCCAAGAGGTAGCAGAAAATCTTTGCTGATTACTGTCCTTGCCCAGTAAACAGTTTATGCAAGAGCATGTGCTTTCACTGGCATTAAAAGATTCCACACTTATTGTTGATGTTTTCCTATTAAATAAGGCAAATCACAGTAATGTTTTTAATTATTTTTTCTAAAGAACAGAAAAATGTGTGACTTCTATTTTTACTGTCTTCTTCATTTCTATTCTTAAATGACATTTCTACTGAAAAACTGCTCATCTGACTGGTATGATCATCATTTTTGTGATGTTTGCTATTCTTGTGTAGCCCCTGTTGGAGACATATTATTGATTGCTGGAATGAGACAGAACGTGTGTGTCTGTCCATTTCTCCCACACTCCATTATGGGGATATATTTTAAGCATTGTTTGATATTTGACTTAAGTCTCTTTAAGATCCCATCACATATCACCAATTATGGATTGATGTTCATGTTTCCTATACAGTATATCATGGAACTGACATTCACTCAAGCTGCCAAAGGTGTTAACAAGGAGATGGTGGTGAACATCAATGACTCCTGTCAGCGATGTGATGGGAAAGGGCATGAGCCTGGTACCAAAGTGCAGCGGTGTCACTACTGCAATGGTACTGGCATGGTAAGTGCTTCTGAAGAGACACATTCTTCTGTGTTTTTTTGGGGCAAGATAGTGATTTCCACATTTTTTTTTCTATAATCATCAGCTTATCTTGGGTGAAACCAGCTTAATAGATGAGGACTTGATGTTAGTATGTACTAGGAATATTTTCATTGTTTTGAATATGTATTCTGGACAACTGAAAATGATAACCTTGAAGGGTAGATCATCTGCCCAATATGCTATATGCCCAATATAGCATATTTGTATGATGTAACAATTCTGAAATTCTTGAGCAATAATTGGGATATTTTGGAGTAGGGGCAGGCATGGGAGGGTAGAAAGTAAGTACTGGCAGTGTAAGGATAATCATGACAGAACAAGATGAATGTTACTTAATAGTAAGTAAAAAAAGGATCAACCTTGAGGCTCTCCATTTCCATGCATCAAAATAGGTACCAAAGGGCGATCTATGACCAGAATGCCTTTGTCTGCAAAGCAGGTGTGGTTGACACAGGGACACTGCAGTCTTTTCCTCACGTGCTGCCATCAGATGATTCTCTCATTCACAGTTAATTTCCATGACTCTTTCCTAAACCCTGGCAGTAATTAATGGGAGTGGATTGTTTTTGGGTTCCTCCAAATACACATGAAAAAGCATCTGTTCCAGCCTTTTATAAGCACTATCCTCACAGGATTTCTGAGCCATTGTTCTGCTGCAGCCCTTACCGAAGGATATCATCCTTGAACCCTGTCATGCTGCGTGTGCAGTTAGAAGGAATCGCATGTGCTGGGCCACTGCCGGGGTGTTGTGGAAATGAAGACAGAAGTAGCTGCCTGGTACCAAATGTTTATACAATTTGGGTTTCCTTTGCCAGGAAACGATAAATACAGGTCCCTTCGTGATGCGGTCTACATGCAGGCGATGTGGTGGTCGTGGTTCCATTGTAACAACCCCGTGTTTGTTATGTCGAGGAACAGGACAAACCAAACAGAGGAAGACAGTGATGGTTCCCGTGCCAGCAGGTTAGTGTTGTATTTGTGAGCTGCTGTCTGTTCAAGTTTAAGCTTAATTGTCTCTAGAGCCTGGCTGCTCCCTGACAAAATGTCAGAGCAACATAAAGCAGCTTTGTTGCAGAGAAGCTATCTAAAGAAAAATGAGGATTGATATCTTGGGGATTGAAAGGATTAGTGATAAGATGTGCATTCTGGTGATGGGTTCATATCTGGTAGATAAAAATATCTGTCCTTCTTGAGAAGAGGTTTTGGATTTTGCATGGATTCTTCTAGGCAGATGTTGAAGAGTGGAACTCTCGAAAGTCTTGACTTGACTCTTTCATTGATACTTAAGGAAATTGGAGGGGAAATCCTCAAAGCCTTAACTTGACTCACAGAGTGGATTGTTTGCCTCTCTCAGAAAAAAAGATAATGGTTGGGGGGGCTGAAAATTTGCTTCTTCAGGACTATCCTGGCTGAGCAACATTTATTTTGCTGTAGCTGAGGGAGACCTTCCAGTGTTCCTTGGTTCCTTACTTCCCAAAAGAATTTTGTAGGATTTGAAGTAATGAGCGTGTGTAGGGATGCTCCTCTGCCTGGCACCTAGTGACCAGACCTGAGCTCTAAATGTGCACTGACACCTCCTTCCTTTGGCCACGGCTCCTGTGGAGAGTGTTACTGTGCTTCCTACTGGTAGGTCCTGTGCTCCTGGAGGTGCGGGTGCTGCTGTGGTGGCAGGCTTTTGGGATGGCAGGAGGCTGGAACAGAAAGCTTGTAGGTATTTAAGTAACATATGGAGTATAATACCAGGTAAAATAGGATAACATTCCCTGTGTTTTTTCCTCACCACAGGCGTTGAAGATGGGCAGACAGTTCGAATGCCTGTGGGAAAGAAAGAAATTTTTATTACATTCAGGGTATGTATCATTATATGTCATAAGCTGCTCTTATTATTTCCATTGGTTGCTTGTTCCCTTCACAACTGCCTGGCAAGTCTGACTTGAGTGGGGAACAGGAGGAGAAAGAGCAAGTGATCCTTTCAAACAGCTGAAGAAACATGATCCACGTGAACTTTCTGAGATAGCAGATGTGCATTGTGACAAATGGTGGAATGTTAAATTTGTTCATAAAGAATTGGGATGAGGCTTCAGGGTAATATGCATTGTTACAGGATGAGGCTTCAGGGTAATATGCATCAAAATACAGAGTGGGTTCGTGGTGCCTTCCATCTTTGACCTGGAGACTTAAGCTGTCTGCTTGCACTGATGAGAGCACTGAGCAGAGCTGCAGGAGTGCGCTTAAGAGCTGACGGGTGATGTGTATTTGTAGAAGGGCACTTTAAGTGCTGATTTGCACATCCTTTGTAGCTGGAGCTCCTGTGTATCTCCTGTCATATGCCTCTGTTGAGGAGCAAGCTTTTTCAGCACCTTTGTTGTGGTGGAGGAGAATTTAGTTCCTTTCTGGTTTGTGGTGCTGTTGCCAAGGTGCTTACCTGCCTTTCCTGGCTTTCCCGTTCAGGGTACCGGACAGGACAGTATCTTCCCTGCTGTCCACAGAATAGCACTGACACTGATAAATTAACAAACTGAATTAGGGAGGGAGTTGCTCAGATAAGAGCACATCTGCTTCCTAAGCCTTTAGCTAATTAAGGTTATGTCAATACCTATTTTTCTCTAAATGACTGAATATTAAATTAGACTTTTTAGCCATGTTGTCTGTGGACAGCAAAGGGTCTGACTGCAGCATTCTGGTATATCTGCTTCTGAGAACTTTGAAAGCAGTTTGCAATGAGAACTTCATGTTGTGCTCACTACTCTTTGGAATTGCTTGTATTTTAGGTTCAGAAAAGTTCTGTGTTCAGAAGAAATGGAGCAGATATCCATTCAGACCTCCTCATTTCAGTAGCACAGGCTGTTCTGGGAGGTACAGCCAGGTGTCAAGGCTTGTATGAGACGATCAATATCACGGTAAGTTCTATTATGTAGAAGAGCTGTGGTGTAACATAATGTAGGACAAGAAAAACATGGTGCAAATCTCCTGAGTCTGCTAGTATCAAGTGTTATTGACTGGAGGATTGACTTTCAGGTAATTTGTGACCTGTTTGGTCACATCTCCTTTCGTATCGCCGTGTAATGACAGAGGAAGGAAGGGCAGGTGGATTGTTGGACATACAAAGCACTGCTAAAAATGGCAGGCTGCTGAGTGCTGGGAAAACCGGGATGGTTGTGTTAGTGTCGTCTCATATGTAAGATTCTCCCCAATAGACTGACCTATTTCTGTGTGTTTACAAATACTGTCCATCCAGCTAGGTCCACATATCAGGTCACTTTTGTTTTGGTCAGGGACATTAGATGTCTGTCACAGCAATACTGGATATTGTCTCTTTGCTGATAAGGAAAAGATCACAGTAAACTAGTAACTGGGGAGGAGAGGGTAAAGCCTTTCTCTTACAATTACTTACATCTTGTATCGGAGAGCAGTGAGACGTCCCACTTACGGTCTTCTAAGTTCTTTGATTTATCCTTCAAAAGCTTTTTCAGCATTTTCATTTTTTCAAGCTTTTTTAAACAGTCTCTGAATGTGTCCAGATGCATGAACATAACAAACTTCCCAATCTTATTTTGAAGCCTGCTGTAGAAATAGGTAATTATTATAGCAATGCCAAAAATCAGCTTGACTCTCTGTGTTCACAGATACCCCCTGGTATTCAGCCAGACCAGAAAATTCGAATGAGTGGGAAAGGCATTCCCAAAGTTAACAGTTATGGCTATGGAGACCACTACATTCACATAAAGATAAAAGTTCCTCAGTAAGTAGATGTAATACAATTCTGTGAAATTTTGAACTCCTTGCAAAAAATTCAGAGATATTTTATGAAAATGTCTCATTGCTTTATCTGCTTTGAGTGTTCCTTAGTCAGATGCCAGTTAGTTAATTTCTCACATTGCTTTTTGTTTTCATGTGAGGTAAAATTCTGTTATTAAAAAAAAAAAAAAAAGCCCAATTTGGGAAGCCAACCGAAAGAATCCTGGAACTATGTAAGTAGCTCTGCACCTGCAGATTTGCCTTGCAGTTTGCTGATTCTGTCCAGGTGCCAGCACCTACATGTTCCCTGTGCTTTTATAGCTGCAACTTAAAGGAACTGAAGTCATTTTGAGTTGCTCTTCAGACTCCTTGTTGAATCCCTGTCCCACTGGTGAAAGAAACTTTATAGTTTGTGTTGCTGCACTCAGCTGGGGTGTTTATTTCTGGAGCTCTCCTTGCCAGCTGTAGCTTTTGCTGCAGCTCCACATGGTTCTCCGCACTTCGAAAGACTTTTTTTACAGCAGCTGGTGAAATGCAGTGGGTCATATCACTCCTCTTCCCCTTGGGCTTATTCTTAATAGAAAGCTCATATTAAGAGCGCCATAGGGATTCCGAGTGTATTTCAGATGTACTAATCGTGTACGTCCAGTAGCTGCCTCTTGTTTGTGCTGCCAGATTAGGAAAGCCTATAGATAACATCCTTCCTAAAGATAGTGGTAACCAGCAATCTCTGTATTGACCTGCAGAAGGCTGACGGATCGCCAGAGAGCTTTAATGATGAGCTATGCTGAGGATGAGACAGATGTGGAAGGCACAGTGAACGGAGTCACAAATACATCATCAGGTAAGCAGGGGGGATTAGCGCTCCCTTCTCCCGGAGCTGGTGTGGGAATGCAGAATGCTTCCCAAGGATTCACGGGGAGGAAGGCGAGCCAAGGTGACCTTTGGACAAGGTGTCAGTACAGACTGCTGAGCATCTTATTTCAAGAGTTGTTTTTATAGGTATGATAGTAATAGGCTGTAGCATAAAGCAGGGAAGTAGAGAGGGCATCACTGCAGTATTTACAGGGCAAATCTGTGCATGAACAGAGAGTAGAGTACTGTTACCTCTAGGATACCTCAGAGCCTCAACAAGTTCTGGTAAGGAATGCCTTGAGCTGCCTACTTTTATCCCTGTGCCAGAAACAACTTGTCTTAGTAGCAGAGGTAGAAGAGGGGAATATGATTCAGCTTAGTTCTGAGTGAGCTAATCTGTTCTCAGCACTCACTGCTGTCCTCAGTGAGAATGTTTCTTAATTGTGACCCCCATTGAAGCAGTCACTTCCAGCCCAGGAATGTCATGGATATCTGCCAGGAATGTCCCGACCAACTGCAGTGAGATTCAGTGGGCAGCTTCAGAAAACCTCGGAGTGTCCTCTGTCATTTGTCACTAGCTTTGAAAATCCAGAATAACTGTTTGGGATTGAAGATGCCTGTGATGCTCCTGGGGTTTGAGGTCTAAATTACTCCTTAAAATTGGAATGGAAATGCTGCTGTCAGCATCGCTGTAAGCTCTACTCAGTGCATACAGGAGAGTCTTGGACAGAAATGCCAGTTATTGCTGGATGTGGCTCCAGTCAATACGCAGCATCGAGTACAGTGGAGGGCCTGAAGTCAGTGGGAGGTTCGTAAAGCTGCTCCTCCTGCGCCAGGTTAAACTTTTTGTTCCAGCAAAAAAAAGTGTATTTTTAAGTTTCACTGAGTTATCTGGCATAAGAGCTAAAGGCATAAGATACATGGTAGAACATACAGATCAAAGCAAGAGCTTTGTTCTTTGCTACTGGAGAGGATTTTTGTTTTTTTTAACCTTGTATTGGAACTATGAATTTCTTAAACTTTGTTAGGTTGTGATCCATTTTTATGTAAGAAACCTATAAAGAGATTTAAGACTGTGTACAGCAAAGCAAAGGTGACAGTCTGGGAATTCAAGTCCTCTCTATTTCAGATAACAAATCCTGAGGAATATAGGCTGCTGCAGGAAAGTTCAGTATATTGGAAAGGTGTGTGGCATATGTTTATCAGCATTATATTCCATAGAGCTTTCATAATATGGAAGTTAATGGGATGTCTTTTCCAGTGTAGGTAAGCATTAAGGGTGAATCCTAGCACAAAGGGGAGAGATTTCTAAGCAAGTCTCTCACCACAACTTTTTAAAGATGTTTATCGGTCAAGGGGGAAAAATTGTACAAATTTGACTTTAAGACATAAAATTGACAAGTTTTACCACACTTAAGTTAGCAGGTGGATTACAAACAATATTAGTAGTTTATAGTACAGAGACAAGTTATTGTTGAGGGTAGGAATTTTTTTTCTGGAAAGCAGAACATACACTGAGCAGAGGCATTTTGCCACAGGCTGCAACATTTCACACCATTGCATCAGTCTGAACTCAGGAGTTCAGTGTGGGAGGATGGGGAGGACTGGACTTTGCTTTCTCTGTGTGTAAAGAAAGCTCAAGGAGGATTTGACAATGTTGTCATTGATGCTTTTAATGCAGAAAAAGCAAAATGATCTCTCCTGTTCTAGCTGTAGCCACTTTTCAGGCAGAAATCTTCTTGGGGTTTGTCTATATAGTAAAACTAGCTGGCCAATACCTGCTAAAAATCCAATCTGGACAAACACTTGTTCTGAAATACTTGTGACCTTTTCCATTCTATCTGGAGACTTTCTAAGCAACATAAATATGATTCCTCTAAGACACATCTGTTTAGTTTTAGCGTATCCCGGTGAAACTTTCTCAGCTGCCCAAGCTCTGGACTATTGGAAGTGGGGTACTTTCAGAGGAGGGGATCCCTGCCTTTGCTGTACAAAACCTTGTTCCCTTGCTCAGCTGGAGGGCTCCAGAGAGGGGAAGGGAAGAGTCTTACCTGGGCTAATGTTCTTTTCCTCCACTTCTGGGGTCTGGGCTTTGCTGTCATTCCAGAAGGACTATGGGTTGCTGATGCTCGTTGGCATGTGGGGCACAGGAGATGCCTGTATGTGAGGATGCTGGCAAAGCCAGCTAACGTCAGACTTTACTGCCCTCCATTCCCAGTCTAAAATAACCCTGTCACTTTGTTTAGTGTGGTGACTGCTGATGAGAGAGGTAGCTGGAGTGGTTTGAGGAATGAATCTGACTGCAGCCTTTGCTGTTTGTGTCCAGGTGGCAGGGCCACGGCTAGCGCTGAAGCAGGCGAGGATAGGCCTGAGGCTGAGGAGAACAAGGAGGGATTCTTTACCAAACTTAAGAAAATGTTTAGCTCCTGATATGCCATCTGAGGTAGGAAGCCTCTTATGTTTTATTGTTGTTTTCCCCTCACATGAAGCAGAACTTGCATTTCTTGGGCAGTAGAAGCAGCAAAGGCACAGCACTGCTTCTCGCTTAGCCTCAGGCCTTCCAGCCACTTCCAGCTGTATGAACAGCCTTAGCTGTCCTGTATTACCTGGAGCAAAAATCCATGGACTAAGTTACCCTGTGGCTGCTACAGAAAGGGAAATGCTGGATACGTTTTCAAGGAGCTGACTGGCCCTTACCTTTAACTCCTGCAGCTCTGCTTCCTGCAGTACTTGCTCATGCAGTGGCTGTACCTGATTCAACACAGGGAACCTGCTCCTAGAACACAGCCTGGCAAAGCAAGGCCCTGCAGAGCCTCAGGTGCTCGTATCTACAATTTCTTTGTTGTTAAGTATAACAGAGCCTGTGGTGCATAATTGAGCACCGCGTTGTAGCTGCAGGTGCCATTTAGTCAGCACTGAGCTGCTGTGAGGGAGCACTGTGGACTTGAAATAACCTACTCAGCCATGACAGGCTGCGGTGTCTTGGACTGGAGGGCCTCAGCTTCCTCACACTTTAGGCAATTCATAAGATTCTTCAAACTTCTCAGTTCTCTCTGGCAAACAAGTGCAAGTTGAAGGCAGCTGGGGAGGTGCTTTTTATCTCCTGCACTTGTAAAAGAATTTGCAGTGTCTACGTGTCTTAGACTGATTCATTCAGGAAGTGTCGAACATTTCCTTTACTTCAACTGCAGGGAAACGTTCTACTGGAAACTAGGAGCCAGCAGCTGCATATCATGGCAGGGGGTTCTAGAGAGCAAAGAAAGTCGATCAGCAGCACAACGAGAATCCCAGCTGGAGAGGCCACAAACCACTGAGGCACCAACAACCATCTGCTGTCCTAGGAAATGGTAACGAAGGAAAGTACTGTCTTTGCAGTAATGACGCAGACGCTTCTTCAAGTTGCTCCTCAAGTTTCTACTGCTGCTGGAAGTTCACTTGGATTCCTGTAGTACTACTGGTAAAATTAAAATTGAGATATTAATTAGAATCCAAAGCAGTGGAAATCTAAAATAAAAGCTGTCCTTCCAGCCCAGAGTGAAGCAGTTTGCTGTATGGAGTCCAAGATGACCTCTTTCACTCGGGTGCCCTTCTGAGTGCTGGATGTGTGGTGAGCTTGTTACTGCTTCTGTTCCAGGAGACTTGGTGCAGCAGTGACTCTTGACCCTGTCTTCACAGCAATCTCCTGTGCCCTCCTAGCTGTTGTGTACACTTCTTAGAGTGGGCTGTCTCCCTTCGGTGGAGACGTGTCCGCACATATTTGCCATGGGCTCATCAGCAGACCTGGCGTTTCCCAGTTGTGTTGATGTCCTGCACAGAAAGCAGTGATGGGTTTCCCTTCCCGCCAGTGTGAACTAAAGTTACAACGCAAGTGCTGTTGCTTTAAGACTGGTACAAGTTTCACATCAGCTCTTTGAAAAACCTTTATGGCTGCAGAGTTTAATGATGAATGATGATGCCTCATTACCACCAAGCCTGTTTCCAGTTTGGGGCAGTTTTTCCTTTTTTTTTTTTTTTTTTTTTTTTATGTTGGCAAAACAGATAGTGTAAAGGACTGGTCTAAGAATCATTGTTTTTTACTGTACCTAGTGTGTGCGAATACAAGAGAAGTGGTTCGCTCTTTTCCAGATGGAGTCAAGCTCTTGCAGTGAGTATTGTCATGGTTACTGTAGCCGGCTGTTACTAGTTATAACTTGCAGGTACCATCAAGCCCACTCACTAATCGACCAGTTAAAGAAGGAAATGTCATAGTCTTGCCCTTTTTAATTTGCTGAAATAAAGCACGCGTTGGCTCCTGATTAAACTGTCTGTAAAGTGAATCTGTATTCATGTAAATAAGATTGATTTCATAAAGATATTTAACACCTGCTCTGCCTTACTGCCTCGTGTGCTCTTCCAGACTCCTGCCTGCGCTGGTTTGGCTCGTTTTCCTTCCTCAGCAGCACGGACCAGGAATGAAGGTCTTTTCTAGGGGAGAGAATGTATCTAGATGTCCAAGTATGTTGTGGCCACAAGTGACTTGAACAGGCAGGGCTGTCCCTGATCTCTTGTGTAACCAGAGCTTTAAGGGTGCTGTCAATAAGCCAACGTGGGAGAAAGTGCTGTTAATGAGTCTTATATCCTTCCCCGAAGAAGAGGGTTAGGGTTTTTTAACAGCAGGTAAAGAACCATCTTGTAAAAGCGCTGCTTAATGAACAGGGCCAAGGGCAGCAGACAAGCTGGAAGCCAATTGTTTGGCTCCAGTAAAGATTAGTTTCTGTTACTGCAGTCTCGGGAAAGAATTCCCAGGACAGAGGCTGTAGCTTCCAGGCTCTTGGGCAGAGGTAAGGACTGTTAACCTGCTCCTCCAGGCGAGCTGTAGGCTCCTGATCACCAGTTCCCTCACCCTGAGAGCATCATGGTGCTCACTGAGGGGATGGTTCCTTCCCCGCTCAGTGGGTAAGGCTTGGGTATAGACCTAAGGGAGGAAGCCCCAGTGGGTGAGAGGTGCCACCTTACCCAGGCTGGAGGCATCTCCCTGTGGGGCTGGCTGCAGATGGGAGGACCTTCCCCAGCCAGCAGGGCCTATGGACGGGCCTGGTGCTCCATCCTGCCTTGGCTCCGGGTGTGGAGAAGCTGCCTGACGCTCGTGGCTCTGCCCCAGCCTGGGCCACGCCGAGCACCAGGCAGTGCTGTGGCCTCCTCTGTCAGACGTGGGCTAACCCTGACCTTCCTCTTCCTTCCTGCTCTGGTTTCTTGCGGCCTCCGCTGCCATGTGATCTGCTAGAACTGGTGCCAAATCCTCTTCTGCAGCCGGCGCTGGCTGCCCCACGCTGCTCCCGTGTTCCCGAGATCCCAAAGCACAAGGGGCAGCCGGGGAGTGCGAGTGTGTGGCCGGGCCAGAGGGGGCACCCCTGCAGTTCATAAATCCAAGCACTCGAGAATCGGGGCAGCTCCAGGCCCTGCTGGGCAGCATCCAGCACTATCCTGGATGAACGCTGTCTGTCCAGGCCGCGCTGCGAGCGGTGCTGCCCGCGAGCCAAGCCACACAAGTCAGAAAGGGCTGGTGCATCCTGCCCATCCCACCAATTTCAGTGCCACTCACAAGCTTCATGAGGAAGGCTGAAGATGCTGCAGAGCTCTGTATGTAATGAAAGATGCATCAAATTAATCCTGCCAGAAACTGGAGATGTCCAGTGTGGTAGGTTTAGTGGGTAATGAGCTTCTGAATTAACTAACTGGCCATGAAAGGTGTGGGGGATGTGTTCTATACATTTACAAATAAATAATTCAGATTAATTAACATAAATGAATCAGGTAGAAAGTGGGATCAGGAGGTGGGTGTGTAGCTCAGAGGGGCTTGCGCACAGGCACTATTTTTGATGCGAGATATCTTTAGCCTCAGCTTACAGGGACGGTGACAACTGAAGTGAATTTCCAGACGCCATCTCCTCCTCAAACAGGCCTCTGGATACAGGGAGAAATTACTAACATTTCCTACTTACTGAGAGGTTTTAACCCCTTAGATAGAGCACAAGGTCTGTGGTCCAGGATGGAGGTCTGAGCTCCTGCTTTCACCCAGGCTTCCTCCCCGTGCAGCTTGTGTCCATTCACTGATTTGGCCAGACTTGGTGGAGAACAGTCAGGAAGTTGGAGGGAGACTGAGAACCTGGGCCGTAGCACAGGGTGCAGGTGCTGGACACACAGGGCAGAGAAGGCCGCAGGAGGAGCAGGGCTTAGAGGGGTTGCAGAAGAAACCTTCCTTCTAGCCATGCTCAGAAAGGAACCACAAACCAGCCAGCCCTGTCATGAGGCCAGATAACCCTTTAGCACTACTGCAGAGTGAGGCCCAGGTGGGAAGGCAGAAGGAGCTGCCTCCTACGGGATGCAAGTTGTGTTAACAGTACGTCCTGCCCCTGGATGGAGTGTGCAGGAGGAATACCTGATCCCTGAAGATCCGGAGTGCTGCTGTTGGACACGTGCAATTGAGACGTAACCGAGGAATGAGCTTGTTTGAAAAATGCCCTGTCCTGGCCACAGCCTAAAACTTTGTCCATCTCTGGAACTGATTCTCTCAAGCCCTGGATTTTCTCAAGCCTGGGATCTTCTCTAAAGAGAAGAGCAGACTGATGGACATTGTTTCTGCTACTGTATTTTTGTACTCTAGGACAGTTTTCGTACTCCAGGACTAAAAGGATTTTTGTGCTAAACTCCCAGGGCTTACCACTTACCAAGCAGAAGGAAAAGATTCTCCTGGTCCAGGAAAGTATCTTCACAGGGGACTTCTACGAGGACTGCAGGTCAGCATAGGGAGGACACTCAGCACGGCACTTGGGCACCTGTGTAAACAGGAGGTGTGAACTTCAGGGATTCACCAGTCAGCAGCTAACAGAAATTATCCAAAATTCAAAGCCTCGGCACCTTCAGGTCAAATCTGTGACTAGGCTGAAATACCTCTGAGAGGCAGGGAGCTCTGAGCTGGACATGGTCTCCTTCCACACCCACATCAGAAGTGCCTGGGATAGGAACAAGTAAGTCACTCAGCTGAAACGCCATCTCTCAGGGGTTCCTGTTAGTCCATTGCTTAGGAGGAAGCCTCTGCTCCAGGAGATGGGAGCTCCAATTCTGCAGGAAATGGCTAAGACTAGAAATTGTTCTTTGCACCAGGAGTATGTTTATTCAGTAAAGAACACACCCTGAGTGCTGTTTTATATGGAGTACCTTACACAAATTAAAATACTTCATGGAATTAGATATACCATAAAACATTGTGGCAAAATGATAACAGTTGAAATAATAATCTCCTTTTTCCAAAACCTAGGGCTTGGCAAGACTAGAGCTTGGCTGATGTTGTACAGCCTCTTCAGCTCTGGTTTGCAATTATCCATTTAGATGCAGCTTGATTAGAGCTACCTGCGAGACCCACACGGCTCCCGTGGAGCAGTTCTCATAACAGGATGTGCTATTTCTGCTTGTTTTGACTGCAGGTTGCTCCCCGCACGCCCAGCAACGTGAGGCCCGGGGGCACAAACCCCCTTTCCTGCAGCCACCCCAGCTGCAATTGCTTTGCTCTATGGTGACGTGGGTCCAGCTGCTCAGAGCCAAACCGTGAACGAGAGCAAACAGGAGCCACGGGCAGAACGGCTCTGGAGGAAGGAGAGCTGAGTCCTGCTCCTTGGGCTCTTCTAATGTTTTCAGATACAACTTGAGATTGCTGGTGGAGGGGGAAAAACTGCATCTGTGTGTTGCCCAGCAAAAGGAAAGAGCTTGCACGAGCTATGCTGACACCAGCATGCTTAAGGACATCTCCTTGTGGTTTTAAAGCCAGCTTGGTGCTCACGGCTGGCGAGGATGCACGAAGCAAAAAAACAAAGACCGCCTGGCTCTCCGGGCTTTGCTCCTCGTGGTTTTGGTGCCAGGGGATCTACTTTCATTTGCGCATGGTCCAGACGAGCTGTAGCTCTCCTGGGAGAGCAGCCTGGCCTCGGGGAGCAGCCGTGCACTGAGCACCTACCTCCCTGAGCCGCTGAGACGGGCCCAGCGCAGCACGGGCTTCACATAGGATGTGGGTGGTTACGAGATGCTGCGTCGAGGCCAGGGGTTTCGCTGTAGCTACTCGCAGCGATTTGCATAGCACACGGCAGCCTGGCGGCTCCGCACGGGCAGGAAGGAAGGTCGACCGAGCCCCACAGCGCAGGAAGGGGCGAGGAGCAAACTGAAAGAGAGAGGAGTCACTCAGCTTGAACGGCCTCA